GACACAGATTAAATAAATCCGAAAACAGAACAATTGAAATAGACAGAGAGAGAGACAGACAGACATACGAATGAAATAATAGGTAATGCTTTAGAAGTTTCCACAGATGATAACGTTTGTTCGTTCATTTAGAATGTATTATCAAAAGATTTAATAGTTTAAAAAATACTATTCATGGTAATATTTTATCTGAGATATTGAAATGACAGCCACTTGCCAATGTTATTGATTTTCACTTACATTTATGAAAATTAAAAAAAAAGGGAGAAACAAATACATTTAGAACACAAATTCTTTTCAATTCCGAAATTTCGTCAAAGTATGTGTTTGGTTGTGAAATAGCCAAGAATGCATTTTGGTTATCTCGTATGTTTCAACACGTAATTGCGTCATTACTTTTTTTTCGCTTTAACTCGGTAGTTAATTTTGACATTAATTTTTTGAAAATATCATTTTTCGGATTTTTTTTTCTTTTGTATATTTTCATGTTCAGTATAAATTTAGATTTTTCTGAGTTTTTTTTATCCCTTACATATACTATTATTATTATAAACTATTGAAGAAAATTAAAATGTGAAAGTGAACGGAGACAATAAGGAAGTGAATACAGTTTTGTTCCTAGTTTGTTGTTGGACTATCGGTGCCCGATCCACCAGATGCCGAACCGCTGCCACTGTTTTCCGTTCGAATTTCTTTCACTGTGCTGGCTGTATCACTGATGATTCCAATCTTAACGGATGGACCTTTTTTCGTGTTTTTTGATAATTGAGCTACTTCCTTCAGTAAACTGGACACTTTTTTATTGAGCACATCAATTTTGGCTTCATAAAATTTTTCCGTTTCTTTCATTTTGTTGCGCATCTCATTTTCGCTGGTGAAATTTTTACTTTTCAATTCGGTCATCAATTTATCTTTGGCCAATAGATCCCGATCTTTTTGTGCCAAACGCTTTTGTAAGCTTGCAATTTGTTCTTTTAATTGTGTCATTGCCACAACATGATCAGAACTATTTGGATCGATTGATACGCCACTGTTTCGTGGAATTTTCTCCGGTATTTCCGGCAGTACCTGCTTTGATGAATCACTTCGCTGTATCTTTTTATGATTCTCTTTGATTTGTTGCTGTTGTTGATTCTGTTGCGGTACCGGTTGCTTGTCCGTACTTGGACGCTTTTTGGTTAATCGATTGTCCGTTTCGACTTGACGAGCCTTGGCTAGGGCACGTTTAAATGATAATGTACAAAGCCAGCACAATAATTTTCCATCAATCTAATAATAAAAAAGAAAAGAAAAATATTAAATTAGTAAAAAAATACAGCTAAAACTTATTGTACACACATAAAAAAGGAAATCTACAAAAAGTCTAAAGAAAAGTGTTTGTCATTTTTTTTCTCGTCACGCTTGAATAAATGTTGTATTGCCCATTGTACGTTATTTGCAACACTATACACTGAGTAGCAGTTAAAACTGAGAAATATGATAAGAATTTCCATATTCAAAATCAATTTAATTCATAGGATACTATCATTAAAATAAACAAATAAAATTTCGGCAGAATATCGACGATATTTGAAAATCATGTTTTGGATTTTGTTTTGTCTTGATTCATTTTCATTCAGTTGCTTTAAAACAACAAGAAATTGAACTTAAGCGGAATGAAGAAGGAAAACTGTGAACACACATACGAACATTAAATGAATTTCATTTTGTCTGATCTTGACAGATTATTTTTTAAAATTTAAATAAACATTGATTTTGTTTGTTTAAGACACTGTCGAATTTTTACTTATTAAATAAATTCTTATGCTATCAGCACAAAGAACACGCAAACTTCGCATACTGTCTACTTAATTTCTTGCTGTCCAACAACAGCAAGTGCATAATCAAAAACAATTTGAAATGCGAGAGTCGACCGAATTCGTTAATTACAAAATCAACATACTCAGTTTACTCGTTGCTCATATTATCTTTATAAACAAACGATTACGAATAAATGGATGTATTTTCGATTCTTTGATTGAATCAATCACAGACTTTTAACTAACTTACTGTTTATGATTCAAATAAATATCAAACTTTTATCTGAGTTTCGGCTTTTTTTGGTTATAAATATGCGCATTTTGTTCTTTTTGTAATATGCTTGAATGAATCACATTTGGTACGTACTCATTATATTAAAATCTACGACACATTTTTTCAGCTATCATATTTCGTCCATAGACAATAGTCTATATTAAACTACTAAGGATTGGTATAATTCTGAAACATGACATGACATTCTTGTTTGAATTAAAATCAATTAATTCTTTGATATTAATTGGTGCAATTTTGATGGATTTTTGAGTTTATAGATCGCATTAGTTCGATTATGCAGATAAATAATTTATTGAACATCTTGTCTGAGTTCATAATACGTAATAAGCATTGCGACTATCATTTGTTTACAATAAAATTGCATATGGAAAAAGTGAAAATTTCCTGACCTATTCATTAAAATATATGGATTACAAAGAGTGCCGTCACTATAGGATTTTTTTGTATGTGTGTGTGTCTGTAGAAGGAATCAAATTGCGTATGAAATATTCTTAAGCATTACATTGAATTTCTTTGCTGAATTGCACGTCACCACATACTATGAATACATTACTGAGTTTTGTGCAGGTGAAAATCACGCAACCAAGTCGTTATTTTATAAATCGGTTATTCTACACATAATTTTCTTTACAATAATTTCGTTCGATATATAACAATATATATTAGGGTGGGTCAATTTGTAGGGGGCCGAAAAAATCTTCAAGTGCTCTTCGCGATTCTGGTTCTATGGGTCATAACAAGCATTTTGCCCAAGGAACCATATGTCTAAAATGAATTTTGAGTCTGCCAAATTTTCTAGATAGATTTCTTCCAAAATATTTAAAAATCGACTTAGATATTGCATGAAATGCAAAAAAAAAAAAATATTTTTTCTCTAGCCAAATGTGTATGCGGGGATTTTTGGGGTCGAGGAATCCATTTCTGATATTTATTTTGCCATATAATAACGTTTTGATACGATTTCCATACAAAAACTGGCAAAAATGGTCGTTTTCTTCTTTTTTTTCCATTTTTTTTTTGGTGATGTCGATTTTTTCATCGGATCAAAAAATTATGTTCTACAAAGTTGTTCAGAATGATGAGAGAAATTTTTTGGGTCAGTTGCCCTTCAACTCCCCCCACCCCCTAGGGGGTCAGGGATCATAACCCCTTAACCCCTGATTTTTTTAACCTGAAACTCAAAAATTCTGCTTCAGCATGCCAAAAAACCTTTAGAAAGTGTTTTTTCAAGATGCCCTTCGAGCCAATTTTCACAAAATAGTCTCATAGTATTTGGCCCCAAATGAGGGGATCTTACTTTTTGTAAAGGTTTTTTGGCATGCTGGAGCCGAATTTTTGGGTTTCAGGTCAAAAAAATCAGGGGTTAAGGGATTATGACCCAAAAAATTTCTCTCATCATTCTGAACAACTTTGTAGAACATAATTTTTTGATCCGATGAGAAAATCGACATCACCGAAAAAAAATTGGAAACAAAAGTAAAAAACGACCATTCTTCGACCCCAAAAACCCCATTTGGCTAGAGAAAAAATAATGTTTTTTTGCATTTTTAATGTAATATCTAAGTCGATTTTTAAATATTTTGGAAAAAATCTATCTAGAAAAATTGGCAGACTCGAAATTTATTTTAGACATATGGTTCCTTGGGCAAAAATGCTTGTTATGACCCATGGAAACAAAATCGCGATGAGCCTTCGATGCAAAAAAATTGACCCACCCTAATATATATATATATAGCACTTTAACAATAACATGACATACATAAATGAGATCATTTGCTTAAGGAGAACTTTTTATGTTTAACAATAAAATTTAGTGAATGAAAATGTTGTGCAACATAAACAAAAGAGCAACTCTTTTTTACAATAAACAATTGTCACATAATTATGGTAAATTCTTATCTAATTTCTCAGTTTCGGTTCTGCACGTACATATATTCCTATATCATTCGAAATGATCACAAATTGCAATTAATGACAATTGTTTGAAGCTTTGATTCTCAGTCAATTGAATCAATCACTGTGCATTTGTGTGTGTTGTTGACAAATAACATTATCTCTGGAACGGTTGCAGAGTTCCGTTGGTTGTTGCTTAACATGATGCATCTCGATGGCGCGTCGAATTTATTTTCGAGTGCAATAACACTTTCGTTTTTTTTTCCATACAATGGACAATATTTAGTATATAAGTCACTCTGAGTGTTTGTGTGTGTCAAGCGGCTCGTCAAATATTCTATCCTGCGTTTAAATTCGTGTGCTCGAAGTTGGAAACGAACCTTTTTATTTTCATCATGTCTATCAAAAGCACATCGTTGTTTACATTGGTCACACGTAACAGCTGGGCCATATTTTAACTCTGAGTTTGTACACCTAATTGATAACGGTATAATAATGGTTTGCGTCATAAGAAACGGACGAGTTCAAAAAAAAAAAATAACAAACACTTTTCTTTTTTTTCGATTTGTTTAAAAAAGGAAAGGAATTTTTTTTTTACTTTTTTTATACAAAACGGAATGGAAAAACAAATTTGTTGGGAAATGGTTGAACGAAATAAGATTTTTTTCTCCATACTTTTGTGTATATATATAAAAAAAAATATTAAAGGAGCTAATAGATTTGTAATCAGAGAAAATTGGAACAAAACTAGACGCCAAGCCGTGTCTCTTTCTATACTGTCACTTCAGTTCAATGGGTGCGCATAAATGAAACAATTTGTGTTAGATGAGTAATAACATCAAACCATTATTCAAAGCTCAAATGACGAACATGATAAGTGCTTTAATTTCCTCGTTTTCACATTGATTAATTCGAAATATTTATAGCCTAACACAGTATCGTTTTCCATTTTGTTTTGTTCATTGATTCTATACAAAGAAAAGATTTGGCTTCTTTTATATTTTATTCCAATTATTCCAGTTGATTTAAATTCAACCCTTCATTGTGATTAATTTTGTTTTGTTTTATTCTTTAAAAATCGCTTATTTCATTCGTCCAATCTCACGAACAAAATGTATAACAAATTATTGAAATGAAAATGTTAATTGTGTGTCATTGGCACATGTTGACAATTGACAAAAAGAAAAATCTAGCAATCAAATGATGAAAAAAACATATTATAATGAATTGGTACTTAACGAACCTTTGGCACTTGGTTCCAATAAAAGCGGCTATTATGTTGCAGTATTCACATGCTGACGGTTTTCCATACTGCTTAACATTATATTCACATTTTTTGCAAATTCCGGATGTGCTGCCTTTGCTGTAATATCAATTAAATTGTGTGTGAGTGCTGCTTTCGATTTTTTTTTGTCATTCAATTATTTATTGGCACTAAGGTGTGTGTGATAAGATAAATTGTCTCGTAAAGATTGACCACAGTTCAAACATTGGATGGACGTAATCATTTGACGATCGAAAACGATACGTTTTCATAATCCGTTTGAAAGGGTTTAAATTACCTGCTTTGTTGGAATTCGGAACGGCAATATGTACATTTGACTATTGGAAATGAACCTCTACACTCCTGGAATAGAATAGAACATTTTCATATATACATCATTAAATTCGATTTAAATGTTTGTCAATCTTGTCGCATACAAGTGATCCATATCCTCTTTATCTAGATCATTTGAATGTATCATTTATCATTTATGTTATGTTCCCGTTATTGTTATTGAAATTTGTTTGTTGTGATAAAATTTAACAAAAGTGGCGAAAAAAATCGATGAATTAACAAGTCTGAACAGACAAGTTCAAAAAAAAGTTATGTACAAAACGCTATGTAAGTCACGTAATCGTGCTGTAAACAGCAAACGTAAGAATCTAGTTCAAAACAATACGAAATAAATTATATTGCAATCGTATGGCAGCATGTGCGACTGCAAGTCATATCGCACATAAAAACTGAGTCAATGTTATGAAGCATTTTCAATGTGACCGCCATAAAGTGCTAAAAATACGACATGTGCCAGAGTATGAGACAGTGGATAAATGCCTATTCTAATGTTCCGCCAGCCAAAATATTCAATACAAAATTCATTGGCACACTTCGAGAGAGAGAGAGAGAGAGAGAGATACATGAGAGATAGACAGATCGGTTACAATAAACAAATCAACGGCGCAATGAGGGAAGAGAACAATGCGAAAAACTTCCTGAATTTATGTACGCTATTTATGGCTGAGTATGTGACTTACGTGGCTCAATCATAATTCGTTACTTCATTCCGAAAGCTGACTGAGTTAGGTTTTTTTTAAAATTATATATGCGGATTGGATAATGGGACATTTTATATCATTTTTTGGACTTGAAATAGACAATGCAATAGATAAATGTAAATAAAAAAATACAAGCGCCAAGTTCCTCGAAGGCAAATTTTGAGGAATTACCAGAAACAGAAATGAAACAAAGAGAATTGAGATAGAAAGCGACGGTCATAACCAATATGGCGAGCGTCTCAATAATTTTTTGACGTCATTGCAAATCTTAGGTAAAAAAATAGCGTTTTTTGTAATATTTAAATTAAGTTGTAGGTTCTGTGGCGAAATTTATACGAAAATTCAAATGAAATCGCTATGGAATATGCACAACGCAAAAGTTTAATTCACAAAATAATTAGACCTTGATTAAATACCGTACAAAACGAACAAGCGCATCGTACCAACGACGACGACAACCACAAAAACAACAACAGGGTTAATGCTACGCTACGCTTTCTTTTCTACCTGTGTAACTCATTTCTTTTTTTTCCCGATCTATGAATTCAATTACAATAAATATTTGAGAATAAAAACAAAAGAACTGTTGCACATGTAGTATAAGAGGGCGTTGATCGATGGTAATAATTTGATCAATCAATTATTTGATGTTGTTTACCTTGCATAATTGCTGGCCAGAACTCAGCTCTTCGAAAGGATGCCTTGAAAAGCATTTGGAGCAAGCAAACAAAACCACTTGTGAACTCATTGTCTGTTTCGTTGTTATTTTTCGATTCTCCTTTCCTGCACTCTGGTGCTGTTCTTTCGTTTAAAGTTGAATAGAAGGGAAAAAAACGTCTCTCGGCTGTTGAATCGGTTGGTCGTGATTATCAAGCACTTGCACAAAATCTTTTATTCTCAAGTTTATAATGGTCCCTTTGAATTAAAACGTATTTTATGCAGGATATATATTTTGTTTTCTTCGTTTACTAAAATTGTATCACAGTCATACGTTTCAAATTGTTGCTCTTGGTTTGTTTTGAATTTGTTGATTTGAAAATGTTTTTGTGCAATTCAGATGCTTCAATATACACTGTGTGTTTCGTTGCAAACAACTAATAAAAAAAATCTCTCGCTTTTTTTCACTCAAATTGAGAATATCGACACCAAAAACACATTCGCTTCAAACAAAATCACAAAATCGGAACAAAATTTATCTAAACAAATACGTTAAAATCAATGTATATCTTTTATTTAATATCTTTGTTCACATAGAAATTTTTTCCATTCGCGTCAATGCCGTCTCCAAAACTAATGACGAACACGGACAACTGTATTACCGTACATTGAATGTTGAGAGAAATGCTAGACGATTCGAATGCGATCGTTTCCAAATCTAAAGTGGAGAGAAAATGTATAAAAAAGCATAATGGCGGCGCATAAACGCACTTGCTACATACATTGAGGCATCTTTCTTAAGTCCCATTCACACGTTCAATACAACAATTTCTGTGATAATTTACCATTTTAATTTCCATTATACGTTGCAAATAATCAGAAAATATCATTTTTTTACGAATATGATATATAATTAATATAATTCAGATAAAAAGCAACGCACAAAAAATTTTCATTGAAGAAAGTGATTGAAGTCGGTTTACATGGATGATTCAAAAGCAACGAATTCACGCTTTGACAGTTCTCGATGTCAGCCATCATTTTTTACATAGCCGTTTTTCAAATACACTTTCGTGTACAGCTCGAAACTATGAAGCCCAATTAAAATTGCACGCACACATTCAAGCTTCAAATGACGGAAAATAAAATATTCGTCTATAAAACAAGACCGAAGTATTTACAATATTGATGTGAAATGAATTAGTTTTGAATGAATTGTAAATGCGAATGCAAACGGTTTGTTGAATTAAATGGGAATGTGCGTTTTGTTAGTGTTCACGAACATTCATATGACATTTCACGTGCAGCACATTTGAATGTAATATCCAAATGCAAACGGGACGTTCACGCCAAAACTATTCCTTTATCGATTGAGAATCGTTCTCACATACATACGCGCGCACGAATTCGTGTACTTGTACAAGAAGCAAAAAAACACACACTTTTTTTTCGCTCTCCATCGTAGGTACAATTTTGCGCTAAAATCGCACCAAAATACCATTGTAAGTGAGCAACCGAACAGCACCCATAAGGATATCAATTAAAGTGAATTTCTCTTTTCAAATATCGATAAAGCATTTTTTTTTTATTTTAAATTCTCGACTGCTCAATTCAGTGTGTGTTGACGATTTCATTTGACATACAACTGGATTATTCAGTGTGTAAGATAGAAAATCATTATCACATCGAATTTGTAAAATTTCTTAAGAATAAAAAGGAGAAGAAGAAGAAGAAAAAACACACACGTAAAAGAAAACGAAACGACCAACGAAATTGGTGTTATTGCGGGAATACATATAAATTTTAATGCATACAGTTGTCAACTCTATTGTACTTCAAATACATTGATTGCAGTCGAAAATTGTTTTGTCGACAAACGTTCGAATAACTTTTCATTTCTGAAGTGGCATTCAATCATCAGTTGTGTGTAATTTTGACGGGTGTACAGATATCTGCATATGTGGAATATGTATATAACAGATTTTCTATTCTTCCGTGTGTTTTCTTGGATATTTTTTTGAAAAAAAATATATTAATATTGTTTTTTTATTCTCTTCTGTAAGTGTATGATTATTGTTGCTGTTCGATTGCTTCGATTAAACAACAAAAGGAATTTTTATAAGAATTTCAGAACATTACTGACATTTGTTTTTGACCATTTACAGAACGATCATCAAGTACATGTGATTGCAAATTTTTTCCAAATTCTGAATCCAATTTATTTGAATTTAAGACTGAGTGAATTGCTATTAATGCGATAGATACTGTTTCTTGTGTATATATATATCAAGTATATATTTTCTTCCACACACACCTTATAATTGCATCGTGTCGACTCTTATAGAAAATTGAATCATTACATTTTGACACAGTGACATAGTCAATTAGTGATTAAGTACGTTTAAGGGCAACCATAATCCAAAGACAACCAATCAGCTAAAGACGAAGAAAAACAATCCACAATGGAAAAGAGAAAATTATCGTAAGTCATTCAAAATTGTTTAATATTATTTGTGGATTTGAAATGGATAGCATACTTCACTTGTATAAGTATGCGAGCATAAATAGTTGTGCGAGTACAGTGAACAAGTGCAGGAAAAATCGATTTTCACACTCATTTATTTTTCGGTTTTGACATTATCAGGCATTCTCACATTTTTATCGTATTGTATTGTCTGAAGTTGCAATTGCTTGCAATGATTCATTTATTTAAAATAAACAACAACAAAAAAAGACTGCTGATAATGTGAAAATAGTTGATTGCAACTCACTCATTCTTGTTTCGTATGCACGACAGCTCTTAAGCAGATGTTTTCACCACCACATGATATTTTAAATGGTTATAAAGGTGGAATTTAACCTTCGAACTGGCGCCGAAGCGATCAGCCTCATTTTGACTCCTAATATCGTTCAATAGACTCATTTTGGTTTCATGAAAATCCAATTTATCAGACCAAAATCGGCGAGGAAAAGTATTTTTTTTACAGAGAATCAATGAATGATCAAATATTTGTAATCAATGAATGGTGTTGAGGTGTGTGACAATTTGAAAATCAATCATATTTTGTATACGTAGTAATTCAAAATGCTTCAATAGATACCAAATTACAATTGAATCCAATTTCAACACTTTTTGTACAGCAGAACATATGCCATATCATTTGGTATGCATCACAATTCAAGTGAAAAGTCTAATTTTTCCAAACCCATCAAATTGGGTTATTCAATTACATTCGATGGAAAGTAGTAAATGAAGAAATTGCTATAATTAATGTTTGCTTTTTATAAATTTTATTTTCTGCATTGAATACGTGTATATCTGTTAACTGCAGATGATTTCTATATAAGTAGACTATAGTCTATAGCATGTATTGCTTAAATGTTTCTTTAAAAAATGGAAATAAAATGCGATTAAGTTTCGATACAGCGAGATTTTGGTGTAAATTTACGGAATCATCGACCATTTTAATGGTTTTGATTTCAAGTTGCGGTGTTAATTTGGTACATCATGAGTGTATTTCGTGCCAAGAAAATCCAATCTCTTCTTTTCAGACGGTTGATTTTTAGCGCGCGCACACACATACATTCACGCAAATATATCACAAGACCATTGGGATTGATATGTTTAACAAGTACTAAAGTGTTGTCACCATTTTTGAGTCGCTGAGAAATAAAAAATCTATTGAACATAATTTCGGGAAAATACGGTGACATATTCTGAAATAAAGAATCATTCCAAACATTTTAATTAACATCAACTTTATGTGGCACATTTATTTGAAATTTTGTAACATTATTCGCTTTTTCTCAATTATTTTGTATTTCCATTCTTAACGACTCACGCGCACGCAACGTGTATGATATGCGAGCATCAAACCACAAAACGCCGAACAAACATATCGCGTTTTGCAATCAAACTCTTTGAAATCTTAGAAGATAATACTGTCGCATGCATTCACATGCATCTTTCATCGTAGAGTTGATGTTCTGGACTGATAAACACATCCATATTAAACGAGCATATTCAATTTCCAAATGCATTCGTTCCGTTTCTCACAATGACAACTGGATTTTTGTTGTTGTTGCGCAAAAAAAGACGACAGTTTTTGATTTATTAAGTCTCATTTGTTATTGTTCTTTTTTTTTCATTTTAATACAGAACTTCTGGAGATACATTGTACGAAATACTAGGTCTTTCTAAAACAGCCACACCCGATGAAATTAAGAAAACGTACCGAAAGTTAGCGCTTAAATACCATCCAGACAAGAACCCAGACAATCCAGATGCTGCTGATAAGGTATTAATTTTTTTTTAAATGAAACGATTTTTATTTATTCACTTATGTTGGTATTTGATTTTTAGTTCAAGGAAGTGAATCGAGCCAATTCGATTTTGAGCGATTTAACGAAACGAAATATTTACGATAACTATGGATCGCTTGGACTTTATATTGCTGAACAATTTGGTGAGGAGAATGTAAACGCATACTTCGTGGTTACATCGCCAGCTTGTAAGGTTTGTACTGCACATCGAACAATAAATGCGATCAAGCAACATGATTTATTTTCAATCATTCGAATGTGACACTTTGTGGTGTTATTTTGACTGTTTTTTTTTCAATTATTTTTCTTAGGCCTGCGTCATAATTTGCGGTGTCATAACAGGCTGTTATTGTTGCTGTTGCTGCTGCTGTTGTTGCAATTTCTGCTTTGGAAAATACAAACCAGCTGCACATGATCACGATTCTAAGGACTACCAGCATTTACATGTGAGTATTGTAACAAATCTTTTTTGTCCCCCCCCCAAATTTTAATCAATTTATTTAACAGTTACGATATTTCTATAACGATTAGATGAACATTGCACTTGATATTAAGAAATCACATATCATATTGCTTTTCTGATGAGCTAATCCAAATATTCAATACACACACACGCACAAAATTCAGTCATTTTCAAACGAAAAAAAAGACAATCGATTTGCACGAAATTCACATTTGAAATATTGTGTACCGTAATGTATTCACTAGCTCCATTCATCATTATATTGATTTCTATTTGTTTTTGTTTGTTTCATTTTTGTTACACGATTCATTCCACACATCATCCATTCGTACTATATTGAAATATTATATACACATAAAATACATATAATTAGACTTGGTTTTAATGAACATGTTGGCATTTTGCAATTTCATGAGAGCCATCAAGCAGCCTGTGTGTACTCTCAGAATATATTATGTTCAAGGTTTTTCACGATGAAAATACTTTCAATTATAAAAAAAAAATGCGACGATTTTATATGCTTACTGCATGACGCGCATTGTGCTTGGCTCTATTAACCCCAATATTTTATTTTTTATAGAAGAAGAATTGTGTGCCAGTTTCACAAATGCAAGAACATTTAATAATCAATTATTATGGACCATCTGAACGGTTCCATATATTTAACTCACTAACCAAAAGCATTTTAACATATTTTTTTTTTTGTCTGATGAACCACTTTGATTAATCATTTTCTTTTCTCACAAAAAACTTTTCTGTTTTTTTCTCTTCTCGATGCAATTTTTTGTTATATTGGTTCTAAACAAAATCACACTAATAATTTTGATTTGATATTATTTTTTTAAATTTAAATTTAAAAAAACGTTTCAATTCGATATATGTTTCCTTTGTTTTAATATTTTTAAATGTTTTTTTGTTTGTTTTAATTTTATTGTTTGGTTCAATCTGTTCTTTTATTTACCCAGCGTGATGCAAATCATCCAGATGGAACATCAGGACGTGTAAGTTCATATTCACTCATATTTTGCGAAACTATTTTTAACCATTTTAATTTAAATGACAACAAGAATGCTTTTCATTTTGATTTATAATCATTCCGCATGTGCATGCACCACCCACTCCAAGTAATATGCATATTTATTTTTGTAGAATCGTTAATTTTATTTTTTATCAATAATATTTTTGGTTAGATGTAAGATCGGCAAATAATCAATCACTTTGCATATGAAAATCAATTTTGGTGTATTATTTTAATGTAAATTTTTATATCTTTGGACAATGTTACAGGAGGACTTCAATGACATGGATGGCGGTGCACCAGTTACTTCACAACCGGCACCAGGTCAAGGTACCAGCAATTCCAATATACCAATTGCAATGCCCGCTCCAAATCCAACCAATCCATTTGCCAGCATGGCTACAGAGCAAACATCGCTCAATACATCTGAACAAGCCACATATACACCAGGTAATTAAATGCACATCGTTTGATCAATTGTTTAACTCTTGAACATTTCACATGCAAACGTTTGCATTCGGGCTCAATAACCTAATCGCATACACATTATTCGTTTATGTGTGTGCTCGTGTGAATTGCATCCAATAAATCAATAAAAAAAATCCATTTTTCTACATGAGCAATAATTCATATTTTTTTTTCGTTCTGTATATATTCTATCTCTCTCACTCTCTCTCTCTCTCTCTTCATGAACAATCCAAAATCAAAAGCCTATTAAAACAAGCAAGAATTGACATAGTTATTAATGAGCATTAACATCAAACATATATTTTGAGCTCATACATAAAATTCTTTTCTGCGAAATACTCGGGGAATGAATTGATCTCCAGTTGGGATGTTTATTGGAATGGGATTTTATGACCAGGTTGGTAGATTGAAAATGATATCAAGTAAATTGAAGATGACCGTTACTTTAACTATTTATCAATTTGTAACTGACTATTACTATTTTTAATATTCTATAATTTGTTTGTTCGTTTTCATTTGAATTTTTTTTTTTTACACACTTTTGCAAAATGAAAAACATTTGCATAGAAAACATAAAAGGAAAATATACAGGAAATTTCAAGTAGACTTTCCGATGAAATGATATTTGTTTGAAAATCGATATTATTCATTTTATTTTCACATCGATCTTGATTTATTTTATTATTCGCAATTGTTTCACACAAAAAACCATTTACACCAAAGTAAAGTATCAAGTAAAGAGTAAAAGTTCATTTTTAACGGAATGCCATTTGAATTGAACATAGTTTGCTTTAAATTTCCCATGAATACACACATTTTTAATTTAATTTTCTTTTATTTCATGTTTCAAATAGGTTTAACATCATCTTCTCCAAGGCGTTGAAAAACCCATCATTAGAGGACACAAAATTACTTTTTTTTGCTATTATTATATCCACAATAATAATTGAAATTTCTTCGTGTGTACACAATTTATAGGAAGTGAAAAAAACAACATTCAAAAAATAAATAAAATGAACCTTATAAATTACTGATATACGTCATTAGCTTATTATGGAAAGAAATCCTTAATATTAATCCCTACTATTATTATATTTACCATCTATTTAATGAAAAAAGAATATTCATCAATAATTTAATGTAAAACAAAATTAGCGTAGCATTGAAATTACCTTCTCAAGTTAAAATCTCGTTTAACATTTTGTTTCAATTCCAATTTATCAAAAATTGTTTGACACAGACTTTTCATTTTTTTTTTTGTTTGTTTTTATCTTGGTCATTGATTTGTGTGTTATTTAAATGTTAGTTTTGTGAATTTTTTTTTTCATCGTCAAATATCATCTGAAATATAAAGAAACAATTTTTTTTTGTTTCAAAATTAAAAAAAAAGTTATAAATTTAGAATTAAGCAGCAATTAAGCAAGTCAAACAGTTCAGGCATGTACACAGATTCAATAAAAATCAATTATCTCAATAACGGATAAAAACTCAAAATATTAAAAACAATTCAATTTTGTTTGCATTCAAATAGATTTTAATGATATATTTCTTTGTCATTCGATAAAATTCATTTTCTTTTCTCATATAATGTATATTTATATTTACAACAAATGAAAAGAGAAACCGATTTAATGCAAGTATTTCTTGTTAGTTTCATATGTTCTTTCCGATTAAATTTTCAATGTACGTCAATAAAATCTAATCAACGAATATTATTCTCACAACACCCGTTTCTTTTACTGATCGTCTTTTATCATTATCATTTAATATATAAATTTTAAAATCGATGCGATGTAAGTTCAAGGAATGTGTATAAATATTTATAATCTTTATTCACCGCCAAAACTGGCTGAATCATCTGAGTTTTTACAATTTTTTATACATTTGTTGGTGGGAAAAAGGTATGAATCAGTGATATACTATGGTGAACATGTGATCACAGTTAAAAACCACATCTTTTCAATAATAATCTTACGACCACATACAATATTCTAACGGTCACCCACACGGTCCACCAGCCCGGGTCAGTAGTACGAATGACCACTCAGCCACCATCCCAGGCTGCACGATATAGGTAAATAGACCGAATGGGGCCGCCGAATTCGCAGTGGTCACTACGCCCCCCATGGCCAAAAGTTAAAATTACATCTTTATAACAAATAAATGAATAAACAATTAGCTACGTCTTACTGTAATAGCTAAAAGTTATCCCGTCAAACAGCAAAAAACGCTTATAAATAGTTAATATTTTCAAATTGCACGCGGATACGATGAGTCGGAAACTAATAAATAAATATAATTTTAAATACTATATCTATATAAAAAAATAAATCACAATGTATCACATTTGCTCGTTTAAGAAAACAGTGTTATAATTGGACACCAATGACAAGTGATCATCGCTTAAGGCTAAAAGTCGATTTTTGAAAGTTGATCTCTTTGATTGCATTGAAAATAGTTCGTGGACCCTATTTGACATTTGTCATTGATTTTGAAGTACTCGACACTTCTCAAGTTACGTTCATTTTGATTGCGGGCCATTTCAGTCTTCAGTGATGGGCAGTGAACATTATTTTGCATCAAGTCGAATATGAATAAAATTGATGCGTTTATACGGCGCCTTTGGAGTGATTGCATGTTTAGTTTGCCCAGGCGAGCGCTGTACGATGATATTTTGTAGTGATTCGAGATGTTTGGATACTCCTCGAGTGCAAACATTGAGAACTGACGAAGGCAAGATTCAATTTTGTTCTTGTGAATGCCATGGTACGGTAGCCATACTAAACTGCCATACTCCAAGATTGATTGTACGAGGGCGCAGTATAATGACTTGAGAGTATTAACATCAGGAATATCGTAGCAGAATCTCTTTACGAATCCGAGCGCTGATGTTGCTTTGGCCACGATTGAATCGATGTGATTGATGAAGTTGATTTTGCTGTCAAAAATTACTCCCAAGTCCTCTTTGTGCGCTTACTCTCTTAAAATTGTGACTGCCATATGAGTAGGAGCACATGATTCTCTCTCTCCTTTTCGATATCGACATAACAGAGCATTTGTCGAGATTTAGGTAAAGTTTGTTTGCTTCGCACCAGTTCTTTAATTTATCAATTGCCACTTGAAGTTTGATAGTGTCATTGGTGTCAGTGATTGAAGTTGCCAATTTCAAATCGTCAGCAAACAGAGAGAGAAAAATGTCGTCATCCGCAATGGAATTTACAATATCGTTGATGAGAAGTAAAAATAGGGTGGGGCCCAAGTGACTACCTTGAGGCACCCCTGAGTTAGCAACAAACTCACTTGATTTCATTTGCCCATATTTCACAAATTGACGACGATTTGACGAATACGATTTGATCCAATCGATTAAGTTTGGTGGCAGATTGAAATTGTGAAGTTTTGAAATCAGAATCGAATGATCAACAATGTCAAATGCCTTACTGAAGTCTGTGTAAAGTACTTCTAGCCCTTCTTCTTTAGCCCAAAATATATCGTTGCTGCGATGATAATTTTTGTACATTATAGTGGTATAAACGATTTTTTGAAATTTTGGAATCGACCGGAATTTGACTACCCATTAAAAAAAATGGCTATTGGTGTCCGTCCCCTAGTTTTCACTGAAATATGAGAATCTTAATGTTAGATATCTTATCTACACACAAAATAACATCTGTAACAGTTCAGCCATCTGGTGGTAAAATTTCAAATTACAACCTTTACTGGCAACATTTTGCGAGCTCGTATTTTTTTATGATCAATAGCCCTAATCATCTGTACAACATACTGATACTTATATTTTAAGTCTTATATTGGTAATTTAAATAGTAAAATACTACTAGCTCAGTTCGAAGTCGAATAATTGATCAAATACACAACCACTGCTGTTCTCTTAAATTCAATATACCAATAAATCACTGATTTTATTGGTAGTAATGATGGTAATTCACAATTTCACCATCAGATGGTGTATCTATTACCGATCTCTTTTTTGTGTATTTATACATAATTCATATAATACAATCCAATACGAAAAATAATTATCAGAGAGAGAGGGAGAGTACAAAACGATACCGCATTATATAAATTACAATGTGCTAGTATTTTCTTCCTTGGCCCCTAGCTTTATGATTCTTGATTAAGCATTTCATATAGAGGGGAGGGCTTTTTCGTTTGAATTTGTACCTGGAATCGCTCAAATCCAGAAATTTACCAGGCGTGGGTGGTTTTTCATTCAACGGTGGTGTAGGATTAAGTTGATATTCTTTTGCTGTAGCCGTTGCTGATATAACTCCACTTGAACCAGGCTGTGACGCATCATTTTGGATGTCATCTATCTAAAAAAGAAATGAAATGAAATGTGGAAATCATAAATAATTATCAGTGAATATTTGCAGTAAAGCGAAATACGGCGGATATGTTATTACGAATGATTTAACAATAGCTTTTACTTGTTTCTTGGGAATTAGATACGTTTTGTGCAAATTATTTGAAAACTGATGAAAAAAAGAACAAAAAAGGGTGTAATTACCTCTACCATATAAAACAACAGCTTTCCGGATTCCACCTCTTGTTTATGAACTTGTAATTCGCTCGTATTCTTTGCGCAATCTGCACAAATCATTTTTGTGTACACGTCTGCTTCTTTAATCTATAATAAATTGGTGTAATAGATGTAAAAGAATAACGCAATCGAATCAATAATCGTATGCAAAAGAAGTAGGAACCCGTAAAAAAACATTTTAAATAAATTAAACCTTACTTCAATATCGTGTAGCTCACGTATTGCATTCAGTAAACTTGGGCAAGCTGTAATGTCCTTCTTGCCAACTTCTACAAAACACAAACGACATTTTGATTGTAAATCTTGAAGATTCTTCATTTTTGACTTGAATACCTTGATTAAATGACAAAAAACACCAATGTATATACACAAACATCAATGATTGATGATCAATCACAAGGAAACTTATTTTAAAAATAGTGTAATTACCTTTTCGTGCATTTCAACCAGTGCCGTGTACAGGTCTTGACCTAATTCAACCCGCTTTTTGTGAAAAGTAAATAAATGCGTTTTGCTTGTGCAGTTTGAACAAATCATTTTTGAATATCTGTCCGTGTCTTTGATCTATAATAAATTGGCACAATATTAGTCAATGAACACACATTATCGCATAAAAAAATTCATATTTAAAATAAAAGAAATTCTTACCTCAATACCAAAGAGTTCATGTATTTTTTGCTGTAAGATTGGCCCATTTGTTACATCGTTTTCTCCCTTTCTTGTGAAACACAAACGACATTTCGACCGTAATTCGCTTAAAGTTGTTGCCATGATTAATGTGAAGGGGTTTGAGAAAAAAAAACACTAAAAAAACTTGTTGAATTCAAAAAATATTTCCGATTATTTTGTACAATCAAATCAAATTTGAATTTGAAGTATTATCAGTGGGTTTTTGTACGGTTTACAGAAAATTGCCGTTTTCTTCAATTTTTCAATAAATGACAGTCATTTACATACACACACTCACTCTGTTGCTATTCTCTGTTATTGTGCAGTTGCCGACAAAATGTCAAAAATCACGCTGTTACTTTGTCACGAAAATGACCATCCCACGATTTGACGTTTGTTTGCCTAAGCGGACAATAAGAGAAAAAAATAAAACCGAACTACAAAACTGAAGTGAACAAAAGTATCGTCATCTCTTTCGTGTAATCATCAAACAGACCGATGATGCACATAATGCTATTATATTTTGCGTATAAATCAGCTTGTTTTGCGTTCATATACACTGAACCATCAATTGATATAAATACAGACGATTGTGCTAGTGCTTCAAAATGTCGACACAAAAGGCACGATCTGCCCATGTGAATGTATGAACTAGACAGAGTGAACGTCGTCTTTCGTGCAGGTCATTGCAGAACGTAGAAAACAAAATTTGCAAACATTTTTTTTATGGACTAAATTTAATTCTATGCAAAATGTATGTGCAAAATAACACCATTGTTTGTCCAATAAGTATCGTGTTTTTATTTCCTTCTTTCTCTCGTCGTTCATTGTGTGTTTTTGGTTCGAAATCAAAGTGATTTGCGCTTACTTAATATTTATATTTATGATTGATTGAACTGCTTTTTTTATAAAAAATAATAATAATAATAATAGAACCTGTGCAAATATTAGATAAATATTAGATAAATTTTATTTTTGGTGGACAGATCCGTGTCAGTGTTTCTTCATTCCCGTCTATTTCAGCACATTTATTTTTAATATCAATGTACGATTATTGACAATAATAACATTTGCTGCTGTGTTTGATTAAATGTGATCGCATCAACTTGTCATTATTAAAAGCGTATCAAAATGCAAATAATTTATGGTGCTTCTAAATGAACATTTCCAAAGGAACCGCTGTTAAATAGTGCCCATAAAAGAAATTCATAATAATAAATTAAAGATTCGGATAAGTGACAAAAAAAAATTGTGTGAAATATTCAAGCCGGTGCCCGTCGTTTTGCACAAATACACATAAAAATCGATTGTGTTATTCAGTTGTTTTGCTTTTAGATTCACATCGAAATAGTCAAATATAATGTGGTTTGTCTTGCATTTGGACATTGTACGTCGCGAATAATAAGACGGATGGTCAGATACAGAGCGAAAAGAAAAGAAAGAAAATAAATCAAATGAATTAAATGGTGCGTTTTGTGTGTGTGTGTGTTTTTTTTTATTTCGTCTGTTCGTTGTGCCAGCGATCAGAGAGGAAAAACTGTATAGCAGAAAAAATAGGCATGCGGTGCAATACTTTCAGTGATATAGATCTCTTTTCTCTTTGTCATTCCACATTCACATTCTGGCAAACAAAACCCACCTCAACTAAAAGCCAAAATCTATTCAAGTCAGTAGTAGGAAAAGGCGGGTTCTAGGCCAAACTTTGCGGCACCCTTGCGGCACCCTTGCGGCACCGCATGCCTGCCGCATCGATTTGCCTAGAAATCTGCCTTCCACTACCATACACCGTATTTCATTCACTCACACATTCAATTGTTTTCTCGTTCAATTCTCTCTATCAAACACTCAAAAATTTATCCAACAACAAAATACATTGGTGCGTTTTAAGATCATTTGTTTACATTTTGAAAGCTCGGTAGTTTTTTTACTTCGTTTGTATGAACATACGAAACGAATCCAACAACAAAATACATGGCAAATACAAAAAACGCTCACCCACTCAGTCACACATTCACTCGTTCGCTCGATTGTATACTACATCTCTCTCTCTCTCTCTCTCTCTCTCTCTCTCTTTTTCTCTCTTTCTCTCACGTTCATGAAAATAGTTCGATTTTTGGTTCGTTTTCTCGTTTTCATGAAAATATTTCGATTTTAGGTTCAATTTCGTGAAGATAGTTCAATTTTAGGTTCGTTTTCATAAAAATAGTTCGATTTTAGGTTCGAATTGATGAAAATAGTTCGATTTTAAGTCCGAATTGGTGAAAATAGTTCGATTTGAGGTTTGATTTCATATAAAAAAAGTTCGATTTGAGGTATCGACACTTGTCGATGTTGAACGCATGTTAAACACCTTAAAACATGTGAAGCGATTGGAATTTTTCGCTTAGTACACAAAAAACTATAATTCACTTTAGTGCAATCGTTGCTCAATTGGCATTGAGTTATTCAAAATGACAAAGACTATATTCTTGCTTAACATTTTGATGTAAAATAAGCAATATTTGCCGAGTTATTTGAGAACAATGCGAGAAAAGGTGAAAAAATACCACTTTTTTGGAAAAAATTTCGCCAAAAAGGCCATCCAAATGCGGTCATATTGTCATGACATGTAGAGAAAAATTGTTTATTATAGCCTGATCAACAGCTTTGCCCAAGACAGTATGCAAAAATAATGAACTCATTACGAGCTATGGGCTAAAATTGATATGATCGAAAATTGAAAAAAAGTAAAAAAAAACATGAGTCTGAGCCAGAAACTTTGAATCCGATTTTAAAGTCCAAATAGGCTGAGTATTCCAAATCCAGCTAGGGTTTGACTACCATGGGGAAGTACTAACTTATAGTATAGGTCCCACCGTTGCCCGAGGTTTTGTGTTGCACTGTGTTATTGATACGTTGTAAACATGGCGTAAAAGAATATACGAAAAATAAAAAAACCACAAATAGAAGAAACATCGAATCCATTTATTCATTTTTGTTTTGAAAATTGCTGAATTCCAGATTTTCCATTCAGAAATTGACTGTTCGTAAATTTCATAATGCATAAAATTACAATCAAAATGGAATCCATCAATTGAGCGACATTTCGTCGGAATAACCTAATCCTAGCATAATTTTCTGCATTGGGCATTGCCATTGAGAATGGTATTCAAAGAAAAAAAAAAATACAGAACAATGTGATTTTATTGAATTTTGAATTAAATAATGGATTTTGCAAAGCGATGGTTCGTTGATCTCACTGATATGGATCTTCATCCGTTAAAAGACCCTCTGGGACTCTTTTTCTCTCAATCTCAGGGAAGTTAATTTGACAGTAGTTGTTCCTCCATCCATGGGGTAACCACATGTTAACTTTATACCAGGCGGCTGAAGTTTGAGCTGAGAAATAGAATAGAATCGAAATTATTTTATCATTAACGAAATTTTTATTAATGAGTTTTTATAATATAAGGCAAGTTTACACTTCCCGTGGAATGAAAAAAAAAAATTTAACAATACAAAAACTAATTAATCAATGAGACTCCTCATTCTGATGCAAAAAACGGAGTTCCAATGCGTAAAAAGAACAAAATTCAATAGACAAAACCAAAATGCACGAATCAATTCTAGGAATTCACACTTCAATCGAACCAAAATCCAAATTTTTCAACGAATATGAGTGATAGGATTTCGCTGTTTACAGGTCATCAGTGCGACTTTGTTCGAACCATCCGCAGATCGAGTCAAACACAAACTAAAAGAAGTAACTAAAACTTAAAGAATATTTTTGTATTAAATTCGGATTGCCGTCCGTTTTTCAGTGTATCAATTTGCCAACATGATTTGCAAAAGGAGAAATTCTTTTAGTTTGTGTTTGACTCGATTTGCTGAAATCGTGTAACTCATTTCGTTGAACCATTTGGATTTTGGTTCGATTGGTGCAGTAAAACAACAATACAAACTTACCATTTTCATTTTCATCAAAATAGTATGTTCCATGTGGCTGTATAAAATTCTGACGGATTTGTCCTGGTCGCAAATTACCTAGTTGAGTTTTTACCCAAAACTCATCATCTCTTTGGGTTCTTTCAGTTCGGACTTCCACATACGCATGGAAGTGACCGAATTCACTACTTGGACGATCCGTACCGTAAGCCACATCAAAATGGTCGGCTGGCAAATCGTAGATTAAGAAGTTGCTTGCGGAGCAACTGAGAATAAAACTCAGAATGAAGAGAGACTTCATATTTTAATGTTCACAGTTGACACCTTTGAAAAATGCTTGAAGTGCATATGTTAGCTCCAGAAACTGAACTGATTTTAGCATATTTGAAAAGCTCTATATATATATGAAACAAACGTGACAATAATTGAAACTGAAATGCAACTATAAAACTGAGTAAGCGAAATTCAAGAACAATGTAAATGGAATCGTGATCAACTGACAAACTGATAAACTAACAAAGAATCAAGATCATAAATAACTTTTGCAAAAGTCACGTACTATTTTAGAATCGAGAACTCATCATTTTAAATTTAGAACAAAATGCATATATTATTGTTGGTCGATTCACGGACAGACTGCATGAATATCATCACACTTATTCGTCGTTACACTTATTTAACGTAATTTACGTGATATAATGAATGCACATGCTTTGATGAATGCACGTGTCTGAATAAGCATTTTTTTAATACTAATACAATTTGTTAAATAGGATAAAAAAATTGTTTCGCGCTAACTCGTTGTTCAATGGTTAAAAATTTGGGGACTGTGTTCAAAATATAAATTGCTTGCGTATTCTTCACATATTCATCGTGAAGAAGTTTATGGAAAAAGAGTTGAATTGTAAGTTTGATGCCACTAGTACGATCTTCAACCGATTTCAGAATTTCATAGTACTCCACATCATCGATGGGAAACGAAAGATGTGGACGTTTATCTGATTTAATAAATAAATGCCATCCTTCGAACACCAATTTTGACAATGAATGTGATGCATGCTGTAAAATTGATTTGATCGTCATAAGTGTTTCGTTCTTCGTATGAAGATTATATTTCATATGAAATGTCTCCAGGTTTGGCATATGTTCCAGTAAATACCACATTTCATCAAACGTAGGAATCTGGTTTCGCATACGAAATTCTGTAATATTTCCAAATGTAGGAATGTAAGTCAACTCCGTGTAAAAATCGGAATGTAAGCTCACTTTCAGATTCTCGATTTGTATATTCGGTGAACTCAGTGTAGCCACAATAGATTGATATTCAAGGTGATTTACTTCAAAATCGAATTCTTTCAATTCACTTAAATAACCCGAATTCGAGACGAAATCAGCACTTGTAATTCGTAGTACTTTCAATTTTGAGTTTACTTCAAGAAATTTATGTATAGCTTCGCAAACTAACTTGTTACATGCATAGCAGTTAAAAGTAGCTTCAACCAATTTAGGCAATGTGCTGTTTGATGGAATTAAAGATTCCACATGGAGATCAAAATGCACGTCTAAAACTTCAAGGTTCGAACAAGCGGATATTATCTCAAAAAACGATCTACTCTTAATGAAGTATACACGTAGTGTTCTCAATCTTTCAAATAATGTTTTCAATTTCAAAAAAATTTCTTTCAATGTTGATTCAGGTGTGTGATAAGCAGAAAATTCCAATTCTTTCAGCCCATTGCAATATTTGCTTATAATTCTCAAATCAAGATGCGTGTCTTCATTTATATTCACTGAATAACGGCTAGGACTTCTGTGCACTAGCGATACCGATGAAATTGATGAACCGAATTTGCTGAAAAAATTGGTGACCTGTGATTTTGTTGGCTTACGGTCCCACGTTAAATCGCCGATACGGATCTTTTTTGATTTGTATTTGCTTGAAAATGCTTCTTTAGCAACACGATCGAAGCGTATACAAACATTTGCCACTGACATTAATGTCGACAAATGTAATTTTGTGAAAATTTCTCGTAAGCAATCGTCATTCAGCACATTTAAAATATGTTTGCATGAATCTTGTTTTGGCGGATGTAACAACGCGCCTATCGCACAATCGAGTTGTAAAACTGTATCCGAAACTAGTTTTGATTTGCGTTTGAATTCTTCGTATGATTTTACTTCACATTTATTGTCTTCAATTTCCATATAACCTTTGGATATTAGCTCATCCGCAACCGAATCGTCTTCAAATTCAATCAGTCCAATTCGAACGTCATTACGTTTTTCAATACCAACAAACCGAAGTTTACCAAATTTCTCGAATATTGCATGTTGATTGAAATAAAACTGAAAGTTACGAGAGAAAAAAATACTTTACAATCAGAGATGCAGCGCAAAAATTGAATGGGTTGAGCAAAACAAAAAAATATATGTAACCTACTTCGTGCATTGGGTATACGCAGATTACAGTTGACTTCGGTGTATATATTTGTTCATCCAAAATTATGCTCATTTTTATGACTTTTAGTTTGATATTCTCATCAATTTGAAAGGAGCCCAATGAAATTGTAAATAATCGCGAATTATTAAACAATTGGATTTGTTTCTAATGAAAAATAACAAAATCTTTATGCATCGCACTTTTGCTATATCAGATAAAATAATCTTGCATTCGCTTTCCGATGTCGGCGGTGGCAGCATCAACGGCAATCATGTAGTTTTTTCTTGTACAGTTGTTGTTGGTTCTGCTGTACACACAGACACACACACTGGAATATTGTTATTTTAGTGTTTTTCTATTTTTCGATATTTCTTCTTCTTTGTGTTTGGTTCTTTTTCACTTTCTATTGAAACTTCAAACTTGTATATCTTTTGTGCACAGCACAAAACATTTTTGTTATTATTCACCAACTACCGCTTCTATCGATTCATTTTTTGTGTTTTTTTCTCGCTTTCGATAGATTTGTTTAACTTATAAAGACCGTTGATTATTCAAATAAAACCGATTACTCTTATGTTTGATTATTTTTGAGAAGAGTACACTTTATTTTCATGTTTCATCGCCACGGCAATTTCACAAAGAAGAAAGAGAAACAACTCATTTCCCTGACAGTTCACTACCTCTCACACACTCATCTTCACTCGCACACACACTCACCACATACATCGAACGCTCTCTCGAATGTGCCGTTGATGTATATTACGTTCCGATATCCTCGACAAAAAAGCTTGCATTTTTACAAATACTTTGAACGTAAATCGTACAAAGTGCTCGTTGGTTATACGTATTCTTTTGACAGTGTTCTAATATCGAACATACTGCACGAGATGAGCGCGTTTTCACTCACATGCACACACGTTATTCTCAATTTTGGTCGCTCGTGTTCGCGATTTCATATACATACATGAATTCGTTGTATACGTGTGACGGTAAAACAGCGTTCGATGAATCATTGAGTCGTTAACGTGAGAGAAAGAGAGAAAGAGAAAGAGAGAGAGAGAGAGAGAGAGAGAGAGAGA